GGTCACACAAAAGGACAAAAAGGAAAAAAAAAAAGAAAGAAGTCTTTCAGAAAAAATCTAGAACATATATAAATATTTGTGCTACTTGAGGAGAGAACTATTTCCAGCAGCTACACGGTATTTGTAGCAGCAGGAAGCCAGAAGACCCCATGAGGTGCGTCATGCCAGGCCCTGCAGGAGTGCTTCACGGAAGATTCCCTGCTGAAAAGCCATCTCGGAGGACCAGATGTGCCCCATTGGTGGCTTACAGTGTGTTTCCTCAGACTTGTCAGCGGGGCTCACCGATTACCTACCTGCAGATATTTCCTTCCTGCAAAAACTCATCAGCTGCCACCAGAACTCTTTGCCAGTGAATCTATATTACTAGTGTCCAGGGGAAGAAAGATAGGACAGGGAAGAAAATGGGGGAGAGGATGTGTCGGGATTAAAGAGAGGGATTGAATGAGAGGGAAAGAATGAAAGGACTGGGCTGGGCTACACCCTGGCTCTGTCTTTCAAACCTTTGAATCGGGCCGTGAACTATCAGGGACCTTTTCCACGGCTGGTCTCCCCAATGTGGCAGAAACATACTGTCCAGCCTCTGTGTGCAAGAGGCATAGTGAAGGCCAAGGTGCATCCCGTCCTTAGGAGTTCACTGCCACAACCCCACATGACTAGCTGCTCCAGCCCTGGGTCTATGATGACCACGGGCCGTGGGGGCTGCTGGCTGTGAGAGGCAGGACGCACCCTGACTGTGATCGTCCAGATCCCGTGGATGCCAGGGCTGTTTCTCGGACTGGTTCTCAGTCTGCGAGGCTGCTCTACTGTGGCACTGCTTTCTGACAGGGCCAGATCGGCTGGAAACCCATCCCTCATGGTGCTCAGGACGGCCTGCCCTGCCCCTGGCTCTGGGATCCCGTGTGTGGCACAGACTTCCCAGCGGAGCCTCAGCCCTGAGGACCGGAGGGATGGCTCGGGCCACAGGCCAGCACCTCCACTGTGGACACTGCAGTCAGCCTGCTTGTCTCCTGTCCCTCCTCGTCTCCCTTTCTGACACCTCAGTTTCCTTTCTGCCCTGCACTGCCCATTGGAAGGCATCTGTTTTGGCACAGCTGATATGTCCTAGTGCTTTGGAGGAGTTAGCAGAAGTGATGAGCTGTCTCAGCGTTGGCTCTCACAAGGAAGCTGGGAAGATCTGGCTTTGATGGCGCTCTGCTTAGATGGGCAGAACAGAGGGTGCACAGGCTCCATGTCCACCTGTGTCCTTGTCACCCACAGCCACTGTCCGAGCAGGCCATGGGCTGCAACTTCCAAAGAGGCTGTGTCAGTTTCTTAGTGGCTTATCCTAGTATGGAAAAGTTTCTGGTGGTCACAACTCAGTGAAAGGGAAATTTTGAGAAGTGCAAAGATGACATTGGAGGTTCTCTCAGGTGTGAATAGAGTCAGGATTGCCTTTTGCGTGATAATCATGGGTTTTTCCTTCACCTCATCACTGCAGAGGTGCTGGTCACTGGGTTGGCCTCAGGAGTGGCAGATCATGTCATGGGTCAAGGGCATCTGTGATGCCCTTGGATCCTTACCCCACCCCATGGTCTCCAGTTTCCTGCAAGGCTCCTGTATTGGGTCTTCTGGCTGCTGTAACAAAGTACCACAAAACAAGTAGCTTAAAACAATAGGAATTTGGAGCAAGATGGCAACGGGTCTGGAGCGGGCGTGCCAGAGGACAGAGAGAGCCTGAGAAGT